TGGTCCGATTTTGATAAAATTTGGTTTGAAGGTGTAGTGAATGAATTTGCAAACCAGCATGATTTGACCATGGGATCGAGGTTTAACTGGGGATTTTATAGAGTAAAAATAGGTTTTTCAATTTTTACCCTTAAAACACTAAATTAACCAATTTTTCTCCAGACCTTTTGAAGGAGCTTAAAAAAATAATTTAGTATACCAGTATCAAAGTGTTTTTGTACGGTTATTGGTTACAGAGAAAATTACAAATATTTTTCATTTAAAACTCCGAATGTTATTCTTATGGGGAATATTGTAAAATGTTGTAGTTGGCTTTTTTGTGGATATATTTTGATCAAACTTGTCAGATTTATTTATTTTATACTAAGCTATTAATAAATATATTTAAAAAAACACACACTTTATTAAATTAGTTTCCATGTAGCAGCAAACCTAGGGTAGGCTACTCGTTAAACATAAATGTTTATTAATAGATTAATCGAAAATCAATCCAGGCGAATGGAAATTTGCTTAGTCGGCAGGATTGCTGTTATTAATATTAGAACAGCGTGGGTATTTTTTTATACACACCCATAATAAATTAAAATCATTCCCCTATTTACATAAAATGAAATAAGTATTTTGCTCTTGTATTTTAATCAATATTTTTATGCCTACATTGAATTCAAATTTAGTCTGATAAGCCTACTCCAAAGTTATCTACTTACTAGGTTTTTTTGCGGAACTCTAGCCCTTAAATTTCACATGAAACTTAGGTAGGTGGCGTATTCCCTAATGTTAGCTTACCCCATCACAGGTTTACCAACGCTAATTAAATATCCCTGCTGCAGCAAACCTGCAGACTAAACAAATTTACATTAGCCTGAATGAATTTTCATTTAAATAGGTCTATATTAAAATTACATTCGGTGCTGCTAGATGGAGGGTAATAAAGTGTTTTTTAGTGAAATATTAATAGCTTAGTATAAAATAAATCAATTCCGCAAGCTTTGTCAAAATATATCTATAAAAAAGCAAACTACTACATTTTACGATATTCTTCATAAGAATAACATGGGAATTTTAATTTTTTTATATTTCTCCGTAACCTATAACTGTGGGACAAAAACATTTTGAAATATATACACGCTCCTAATGTCTTTGTTTTTTTAAGCTCTTTAAAATTGTCTATAGAGATATTGGCAAATCTTTTATTTTGAGGGTCAAATACGAGAAAACCCCATTTTTACCTCATAAAACCCCCTTTAAACACCTCTCCTATGGTCCAATTATACTGGTTCTCTGGAACTTATTCAAGTTCATCCCACCTTACACCTTTAAGTCAAATTTCATTAAAAATGGACAAAAATTAACTTTCTCAAAATTGTGTTCACGGACACATGAGTTATATATAAAAATTTGAACGAATAATTTTTTTGGCGTCTGGAGACATCAAAATGATAAAGTATATCGGCTCCGGGCCGAGATTTTACCGTGCCATCTTTGGTAATAGCTACTTCCCTATAAGTAAATTCGCTAAAAGCATTATCTTTTAAAAATATAAATATAGACTAATAGCCTAATATATATACACATTATGGACAAGATCTGAAAATGATATGAACAGTTAAATGTAGTGATCTTATTCATATCAACCGTTAGATTGTAACATAACCGCTGCAGCACACCAAGAAAATTTGAAAACACTCAATCGATATTGAAATGATAATGAAAACTATGACCGATACTATAACTTATAAATATCGAAATTAATATTTAAATTCAACCAATGAAATACCATTTTCTCTGCAGAACTATCCCAAAATTTATTTTTACATAATGGAACACAATTTGACAACGCAGGAACACCACTCACAGCAAAGAACACTTAAAAATAGTTTAGTATAGGCCTATTAAAGTATTTTTGTACAATTATTAGTAACAGAGAAAATTTAAAAAAAATTTAATTTAAAATTCTCATGTTATTTTTACGGGGAATATTATAAAATGTTGTAGTTTCCTTGTTTATGGATATATTTTGATCAAACTAGGCAATTTTATTTATTTCAACTAAGCTATTAATATTTTACAACAAAAAAAAACACTTTATTAGTTTCACTGTAGCAGCAAACCTAGGTACTCGTTAAACCTAATGTTATTTAAATAGATTTATGCCTAATTGAAAATCAATTCAGACAAAATGGAAATTCACTTAGTTTGCAGGTTTGCTGCGGTGGGGGTATTTATTTGCTCTAATGTAGCCTAATCTAATGTATGTTCTATGTCAATGTAAAATTTTAATACAGATGTACAATTAAGTCATATAAGTACCCCTTTCCTTGTAACACTTTATTTGGTCTTCTACACAGCAAAACCAGGAGTCTTGTTTCAAAATTGTTTTCCCTCATGTAATAGACATCTAGGCTACCTACAATTATCACAATTGATTTCATGCAATTCAATGTGATTATTAAACAGTATGTAAGTAATTATCGAAGACAAAATATAGTACCTAGGTACTTCTTGATTGTATGTACAGTAATTAATTATCTGTTACAATATTCTGTATAAACTATTACATAGGCAATAAAACAAATTGAAATATATATCATGTTATTTTTTACCTCACATTCAATTTCCATTACACTGTATTTATTGCTACTATATGTATACTACCTATACAGTACAGGCTACTAAAGCTACCAGGCCCTATTCAGAACATTCTTTAGTCAGGATTAATTAATTATACTTTTTAATTTTGAAAAGGATTTCTTCTGGTGACATGGTCCCTACACTACAAGATATAACTTACTTAAATAGTAGATTTTTCTTACATGCATTTTACATAATCATCATTTTGTGCCATCAAACAATTGATGATAATTCTGAAGTAGGCTACCTACTCAAATTAATATTTACAACAGTCCTAGGGTGCTCATGCATTAATTACTAGATCTGTTAAGCTTTTGTGTAAACATTACAGTATTAATAATTAAGAAGGATTATTTGTATGCATGGAATTGTCTTCGTTCATTCTCATACGCGACTTCAGAGCGTACTCCTAGTAAACTAATAAACAGGAGACACAGTATGGCATAGACTGTGTGTCAATGTTGGAAACATAAGCTCTACAAAAGCACATTCCTTGACTAAAAAATACAGGGAAAAAAGTTGGGACGGAAATGTGTTTTGCCAGCACTTTTCCTTACTCTACTAATTTTATAAAACACTATTTTGTGAAAAATATACAATAAAGTTTTTTAACAATGTGGTATTAAATGAACTTTGTTCCTCAAACAAATCAATCAATTTCTACATCGGTTTACTGTTGCCATTGGAATTTTCTTTTACATCTTAAACTCAAGTATATGTGCATCAACAGGTGAAAATGTAAAAATAAAAACAAGCTTCTTTACCAGTCTGCTAGTTAGTCAATTTTTTCCAAGACTAATATTGTTGACAAAACTATTCTAAGCTAAAAGCATTGACTTTTGGATGCTGAAGTAGACATCCCATCTACATGGAGCTGTAGGCAGTTTTTCAAAAAAGAACATTAGTTGTGTGAGCCAGTCAAAGAATACACTAGGGTCTTAAATTCCATTTTCTACATTATTTATTGTTGCTGACCAAGTTGATGGGTCATAACAGTTTCTATAATTCACCATAAGTTATTCTATTGGTTTAACCATAGACTAACCAACACAAGTAGACTTCTCATCCCATTGTAAATTTTGAAGCACGTTTTTCGTGTATAGTTCATGTACGCGACACAAAGGCGCTAGTGTTGATGAAACTTTGTTTCCATTATTTTAGGGTTAATTTCTTGATTTGTGCTTTACTGTTTGGTTATATAACTAGGGGACAAGTTATTATGTATGATTAGATCGTATTATTTGGTTAAACAAGGTTTTAAATGGCTGTAATAACGGGAAACAAATAGTAAACAAAACACGACCTCTACATAAACCGTACATGAACTAACAATAAAATTGTCTTCAGCTGTTCCATAAGGATAAGAAATCTACTAAGGGAGTATGTTTTATCTATGGTTTAACTTTGTTGAAAAGTCTGTGTATTCACAAATTAGTGATTAAGATCAGCGCAATCTATCAGTGGCTCACATGAACTACGACGATTTTGATAAAAAATACCCCCGCCGCAGCAAACCTGCAGACTAAGCGAATTTCCATTTGACTGATTGGATTTACACTGAAATGTCTACTTAAAAATATAACATTTATTCTCTATTTAAATAGAATTAGTTTAACTAGTACTTAGATTTGCTGCATCAGGGAGGGTAAAACTGTTTTTTTTTTTGTAAAACGTTAATAGTTAGTAAGAAATAAAAACATTTTCCAAATTTGATCAAAATATGTTCATAAACAAGCAAACTACAACAATTTACTTATTCTCCATAAGAATAACATGGGAATTTTAAATTTAAATTTTTTTGGAATTTTCTCCGTAACCATTAGGCGCATAATAACGCTTCAATATACTAAATTATTTGTTTTTTTAAGCTCTACAAAATGGTTTGGAAAGAAATTGCTAAATTTTATGTTTTTTGGGTCAAAAATAGGAAAAACCTATTTTTACCCCATAAAACCCCCCGTAAACCCCCGTTCCCATGGTCCGATCATGCTGGATCGCGAACTCGTTCGAATAAACGTAGGTTTACACGTTTGTACCAAATTTCATCAAAATCGGATCATTTTTGCTCGAGTTATCGTGCTGACGGACACATATATATATATATAAATAAATATATAAATATATATATATATATGAATTTAAACGGATGGTGTTTTTGGCCTCTAGGGACCTCAAAATGAACAAAAAAATCGGTCCCGCGTCCAGGTCTTACCATGAGTACTACGGTAATAGCTTATTCCCTATATGGGAAATTCGCTAAAACTGGCGACAACTTTAACATGGGGAATGAAATGTCTAGTTTAATAGTCAAAGATATAAGTTTATGTTATAATTGTGTTCAAATTGTATACACAAGTTTCCTTTTGCAGGATTTTGGAGAACCTGATGATACCTGTGGAATGCTTGTTTCCCATTGACATAATGATCAAGGAAGATGCTGGTCGCAGCACTATCTGTCAGCTCAACTGGCTACTGACTGCCTGCAAGGAGGCCTTCCTCAACCCATTGGCCACCAAGAGTGTCATAGACTATGTCAAGGTGCTCTCTAATAAAAAGGTACGTCGTAATGCTCTTCAAAATCAACGTCAAAATTCTCTCTCAAAAGGTTTGAGAACATGCTCTCTAACAAGCTGTCAAAGGCATGACAAAAATCATACTACAACATGAAAAATTATCTGATATTTGAAAAATTCACTGATGTATAATTAGTTGTATTCGTTTTGTCTCTCTATTTTATTAACAGGTCAATAACGGCTATTTTTGACGACACAGTAATTGGCCTCTGCCAAAGATAAAATAGATTTATATGATGCCAACAGATTTTGGTGCAAGTTTTAAAGCAATGTTGAAGGAAGGATGAGTTTGAAATGAATGAAAAATATCCCTTTTTCTTTAGCTTGGGTAATTTATTAGAGACCCAATGATCAAAGGCAGCGGGGTTGAGTTTCAAACCAGCAAAAAGCTAATGGTTTTCTCACTTCTCAGGATTGAGCTAGCACTTTTTAAATCGCTAAGCAAACACCATAACCGTAAATACCTTAACTTAATGTATACGCTTCTTGCCATCTATTTATTTTTATCTTCTTTATAACAGCAACTGGTCTCTGAAGAAGGAGCAACCAGCATCCACAAGTGTCTACAACTATTGCGCAACTTGTTGCACATCCCCGAAGTGCGAGGTGGCGCTCCTGGTGGTGGAGCTTCACATCAGAACCAGATCATCTGGAACCTGTTTACTCAGCACGCAGACAAGGTGCTGATACAGCTGATGACCAGTCACAGCCGAGCTCTGTGGAGTGTGACTCTAGTCCAGGTGATCTCCCTGTTGTACAAGGACCAGCACAGTCACATCATACACAAGCTGTTGGCTATATGGTGCGACACGGCGCTCAGTGAGAGCTCGGAGGATGATGAGAGTAATACATCACCACAGGTCAGTCGTATACCAACTAGAAATGTATTTTCTTAAACATTTTTCTTTACTTCAACTATGAATGTTTTTGAAAAAAATGTTTTAGTCAATTACAAAATTTGTAACGTTCTGAATTTTTTGTGAAGTCTATTATGTAATATTGAGTTTACCAATGTTACGATAATACGATAAGATCTTGATGGTGCTTTGGCAAGACTTTCACAATACATGAACCATTTAAATTGTGCAGTGTTTCTCCAATCATATTTGGACATGCATATTTTTACCTATTTAATTTTACAAAAGTTTGAAGCTATGGATGAAACATAGATTACCTGAATGGGAAAGAGCAATAGTGTAGTCGTGAATTTTCCAGTGTGGGAACACTAACCATCGTCTAAGTACTGATCAACATATGGATTAATTTATAGGATTTTGGCAAAAGCAGAGTGGAAGCGCTACTGCCACACATTCCCTACACTATGGCCTCCAGCACAAACTATACCATGAGGAAAGTGTACAATCTGACACAAGAAACACAAAATTTTACACCAAAAATATGAAAATTAGGCGGGTCGGTAGCACAAATGACTACAAATCCCTAGCAGTGATGTCTTAGGTTTGTATCAGAGCTGCCTCTAATATCGGCTCACCTTTTTCTTTGCTTGTTTTGTTCCACAAACCCAAGGCCAGGGTAAATGCAAGCTTAAAAGTCAGCCTACCTCTTTAAAAAAATCATCAATCATAGAACACAATGATTTCACAAGTAGTATTTTTCTGGTTTATCTAATAAGTTCTTTAAATCTCAGTACAGTAGAGTCTCGGTTATTGGACGTTCGGTTATCCAACCGAATTATTTGACCTCTTACGGTCACAGCGCCTGCGCGAACCACTCCCGCGATCACGGCACCATCGTCAACATGTCCAACACTTGTGGCGTGATCGTCAAAATATTCTGCAGTCACGCCGTGATCGACAAGACATCCCACAGACACAGTGCCAGAACAAAGATCTCCTATGATGGCGTGACCACGGAACCATCGCCAGCATGTCCAACGCTCACAGCACAATTGTCAACATCTCCCACAATCACGGCACCATCGCCAACATGTCCAACGCTCACAGCGCGATCATCAACATACCCGCGATCACGGCACCATCGTCAACATATCCAACTTGGGTGGCACGATCGTCAACATGTCCGATGTTCATGGTGCAATCGTCAACATCTCCCGCAATAACGGAACCATCGTCAACATGTCCTACGTTTGCGGCGCGATTGTCAACATTTCCCACGATCACAGAACCATCGTCAACACGACCCACGGTAACAACTCCAGCCCAAACGTCGTTTTTGTAATTTTCCGTGGTATCCGACCTTGCCGTGGCCAGTTTAGCTCGGATAATCGAGATTCTACTGTAAAAAAACCTTAAAAACTTCTTTCATATTACTGTTTTGTATTTTTTGTTTATGCATAGTGTATTGTGTATGGACCAGTGTTGATGAAAATATTATTCATATTGTAGGACCAAGGGTCAGGAGACTGGTCGTCTTCCATGGCAACATCCGACCCAACGTCCGACTCCTCTGACAGTGATCACCAGAAACACCTTCAGATTAATGCTAAACATCCGCACCAACATCTCAAACAGGTTGTGAGTATACCTTGCATGTACAGACTAACGTTCAAGTTCCACAAAATCCCAAAAAGGCCATTAGTATTGTAGAGTTTTGATTAATAATAATTTATATGTAATTTTAGCTAAGAATTAACTTTAAAAATTAAAATTAAAACATAATGATTTATTATTGAATAGTTTGAAATGTATGTTGCAAAAGTAAAGACAAATTTTGTTCCTTGGTTTTGACTGTGAGCATTGTAATAGTTCTACTTGCTATTCGTCAGGCTCAACACCGAATGACTGAGATCCTAGCCAATGGTATTGGACGCAAGGCGCAGGTGGCCATGAGGAACAAACATGGGAACAGCAAGAACAGTCATCCCGTGAGGCCCCGTCATCTGGACTATCCTCAGGACCAGCACAGTGGCAACAAGGTAACCATGAAAACATGAACCCATGAAACATGGTTTTGTTCATGAGGTGAACTCATGTGTTTCAACCACCTAAATTTAGGCTCTAATGGAAAGTTGCAAATTAGATCATAAAGAAAATCTGTTAACTTGTACGCTTTCTCATACAGTAACGGATTTAGTTGCTGAAGCGTTAATGTTCAGTTCATTAATTCATTTACCGTGTTTTCATTTGTACTATGTGTCATTTCATGTGTGATTCACTAGTTGACTAGATAACGTCGCAACATGGATTATTTTTAAGGTCATACATAACTAAATATATGACACTGGCAAGGACGAGTCAGAGCTATGACAGAAGTGACTGGTTTACAGGAGGTGAAGATGAGTTGGACCACGTCTGAGAGTGGGCTGGGCAGCAGTCTGGGCAGTGAGTCTCATGCCAGTGGGGAAGGTCTCAAGATGATGGACTGTGGCTTACCTGAGTTGTCAGAGTGTGGCTGTGACATCCAGAACCAGGAGACAATCTCTACCTCCAGCAATGAGGATAAGGAGCCCTGCAGGTAGAGACTGTTTGTCTGTTAAGGGTGTGTTATGATGCTGCATCACCAAGGTCGCAAGATATACTAACAAGTGTTGCTATGATCGCGGGAGATGATCACCGGTGTCACTTAGACCCTCTGTTGTCCAAACACCCCAACTCTTAATTTTTTTTAGATAATCGACTCTAGTTCAACCTTGCACACTCTAACCTGATACTCTGACCCTCTTATTCAATCTATAGTTCATCTGGCACTGGAATTGTATAAAATCAAATCAACTTATTTATACAAAAATAAACGTTACATAAAGTGCTTAGAACGGGTGTTTCGTTAATTGCATAAATACTTATAATAAATTCAACAAATACCTACTTAATTTACTTAGAAAAAACATTCATAGTTCATACATAAAACATACATTTACTATAGCAACACAATGTACAATGACTATGCCCAAGGAGGTGTCTGCTAAAAAGTCTGGGACGGAATAATAAACCTTATCCAGTGATTTTTAACTTTAAAACATTTAACTTTTAACTTAGCAGGCATCTTTTTTTAGAGTTAAAATTATTGTGAAATACAAAAACTCTGGTTGTCGCAAACCTGAAGGCAAAATTTTAGAAAGAGTTAGAAAGTGTTTATCTTAACAGGTACATTTTCAAAGGAGATTTACACATTCAAAATTATTTGATAAGCCTTGATCAAAAGTACTTAATCATTTGTACAAGGAACACTCCTTTTTAGTTCTATCTAAATATAAAAACATGCCATTAAATTAGACATTTTTCAAATTTTATGACAAATCTAGCCAATTATATCTACAAAAAAGCATTCTACTGCAATGCAATTCATGATAATAACATAGCAAAAAACTTCTTGTGCTTTTGTTTATCGATTTCAATATCTTAGTTGGGGAAAAAACTTAATTTGATTTTGTTTAAGGTTTGGAAAGAAGAAAAAAGTTCACCAAAAACCACTCCACATGATCCAGAAAAGCCGGTACATAAATGGCAAGGTTCCCATGACCAGTCAGTCAAGAAAAGATCTGCGCCGGGAGAAATTGATCAAACGTAGCAAAACCACTACGTAAGTGTTTGTAATCAATGTTTAGTTTAGAAAATAAAATAATGTTATGAGATGACATAGGCTGGGCTGCTTCCCGTCCCCATTCTGTCAGGGCGGTCTTGAATTTGGGTTGGGCCCTTTTGCCTGTGTTTATTCTGGGGAGAGGGGGCTGTCCCAATTTTTCTTTAACCAAAAGTAACCACCCTGACCATAGTTGTGTACACATCCTCATACACACATTTTGTTAAAAACTTTTTGGGTCCAGGGGGGCCCAAAACAGATATACCCACCTAAATTCAAACTCGATAATTTTGACAAAAGCAATACTTGGGTGAGAAAGTAAAAATAATTCAAATTCCTAATCCATTAGGACAACCTTCGAAGTTTTCTTTACACTTAACAACTGGCCTACATAATATATTGAGCCCTTCTGAACTGTAGTAGTTCAAACCTTACACATTGATGTCGGAAAACCTGTCACAAATCTTTGTTTGTATAGAAATAAAGGATATTTTACAACTTTACATTTTGGTTGAAATACGCTGCCCTTACAACTTTAAAAGAAATTTGGTGGTTTAGTGTGTTCAGTTACAGTAATAATGTATTTGAAACCTAAATAATTAAAGAAAGCCTTGGCTTTTGAGCCAAGTAGCTCTTATGTCCACTTTGTATGGTCTTGAGTGACAATATCTCAAGGGTTTGTTTCTGACAGATTTTTAATTCTAACTTTGGTGCAGTTATTACTTTGTGATACACCAAGTATGCATGTGGGTTTTCACTGTTTACTCTTGCAACTCCTCAGGCTGAACATTAAGACGTTCCTGAACCACACTCCCAATGAGGAGGACATCTCCCAGCTGCTGAAGGAGTTCACTATCGATCTGCTTCTGAAGGGCTACGGCAGTCTAGTGACAGAACTGAAGACCGTCGTGTTGACCAAGAAAGAGGTTCACATGGACACGTCACACTTCTCCTGGCTGATCATGTACTTCCTTAGATACGCAACTCTACTGGAGCTGGACCTGGAGTTGATCAGGTCATTATTTTGTTTGTCTTGTACGACCCAGTAGAAAGTTGAGATAAGATTGAGTGAAAATATGAGGGTTGTGTGTTGTGTGTAAATTAAGGTCTCCAATAAGTACCAGCCACAACAAGTCCATCAAATGTGATTTCAGCGCTGTGTTCTTTAACTATCCCATTATGTTTCCAGCCTGACCCAATCCCAAAACGATTAGTCTTATTGCAATAGATAACAATGTAAGAGGAAATCTATGCTCTCTCTCAGTTTTCTGCATTGAAAACCGTTGACAGTTGGTGGATGTGAATGAAGAAAACTGGATGTAAAAATGAGTAAAAGTGACCCATGAGTTCATACGCTATACTCATACACATTAATGAGAAGGCCAATAGTGGACGAACTTGTGAAATCACTAGCATTGTTCACATTTTTTAAGAAAATGTGATTGTCTTTTTGCAATAAGTCCAATGCCACAGAGCTGCTTCACAACACTCACACATTTGATTTTTTATTTTTACATCACACAAAAGCTTAAAATTTTATTTTATGAATTGAAATAATCATAAACAGAGTTCAAATTAAAAAAAAACGCAGTGGAATGTCAAATTGGATCTTCTATCTAGAGAGATAAGTAAAATTGTTGATTTTGCAAATTAATTGACTGTTTTTGATCAACTTTTGAGTACAAATGAATGTTTCAATCTGAAATCTAGGTCCACTCAGTGCTCCATTACTGTATCACTACATGTTGGTTTTATTTGCCAGTCCTGTACTCTCCTATGACATCATTTCCTACTTGACGTATGAGGGGGTCAATCTCTGTGAGGAGCTGGAGGTGGCCAAGCTGCAAGTGGGGGAGAACCTTACACGGACACTGCGTAAATTGTATCTGGTAAGTAAAAACACACACACACACACACAAACTCAGTAAAAATATAATTTATATAAATGTAACTGTACAAAGTTATTTGAATTGCGAGGGCTTCAATGTAATTTTCTGTCATGCATTTTGCATAACAAGTTCTAATTTAAAACATTTATTCAATTCACAATATTATATTGATTTACTTTAGCATTTCAGGATTGTATACTTCTTTATTTCTTCTTTTTAGAGTTTAAAAGGTAGACAGGATATGTTTAAATATTATTTGGCTGGAAGAGGAATAAGAAGAGTTTGTAATTAACAAACAAACAAAAAATAGCAAAAGATAAATACAAAAGATATTAAACTATTGTATGTAGGATTTTTGCATTATTTATTTTAAAATAGAGCACAGGATTTTTGATAAACTTAGTTATTCAGTAGCATATAAATCGCTTTTCTTTAGAAAACAATATTGTGTGACATTTGACATTTTATGATAATATTTTTTCAGATTGTAAGCTCCTTGAAGGAAATTGTGTTCACTATTGAATGCTACCAGAAGATAAAACATTTGACCCCAGCTGATCATGAATATCTGAGACAGCTTCAGGGTAAGGAACATTACTAGAGTCTGGAAATAAAATTTTCTTTTTATTGATTTTATTATCCGTGAAAGTTTTAGTTAAGTTTTGTTTAGGTTTAATTGTAAGTTGTACTGTTTTGAAATGAAAATCAATAAAGAAAAATCTTTTCTTTTAGGAGGGGGATAAGACATGGGATTTGACGGAGAATGAGGATCTGTGAATGAGGGTGCACAATAAGCTGTTTTAGCTGTGATGCAATCCTATAGTCTACCATAAGCCTGACCCTCTGTTAAAAAAAAATGAGCGGATAAGACTAGCAATGCTATTAACTTATGCTGTTAAAAAGTCAACACTTATTTATTTTATGGTAATGATCCCCCCATACAAAATGAACATAGCCCAAACGAATTGCGTTCACTTTTTAAGTTTGTCCAAACAATAAAAATATTATGTTAGGCAATAATTCAGATTAGTTAATAATTATTAATTACCTAAGCTTACTCCCCCCTCCTTGTACCTCAATTCAAATAATTGTTTGTATGATCCAACAGAGAAGATGGCACACACCAACGACCTGAGATGTCTGTTTGTGTTGCTGTTGCGCCACTTTGATCCGCTGGTGCAGAGTCATCAGTTTCTACAAGATGTTGTAGCCACGAACCACAGCCTGCTGCTGCTAGTGGAGAACTACCTCAGCAAAGAGGCGATGGCGGATCACATCAAACAGTGAGTGAATCATTTTAAAAGATATTTATGACTTTTTGTAAATTAAGATAAAAAACAACATAAATTTTTGAATACGCCATCACCAAAAATGAATTTCAAACAAAGAATGGTTTTGTTTAAATTAACCATTGTTTTTCCTTGCACAGTACCTGATATAAAAATGTCTGACCTGATTTAGATGTCAATAATTATGTTTGCACTTTATTTGTGTAATGAGCCCAATATTGAACCACACCGTTTCACAGGTTCGCCACTGAAGACGTGATGAGGCAGTATGGAGTTTTGCTGGCCTGTTTTGAAGACAACGGAGAAACCGTGAACAACTGCATCTTCACTATGATGCACCACATTGCTGGAGATTTGGAGAAAGTTTCCGTTCTTTTCCAACCAACAATTCTGAGCTCTTTCAATCGTATCGTGGAAACTGAGTTTCAACTGAGTGAAGTGAGTTTTTCTTTGGTAATTAGTACTAATTGCCAATTGATTAAACAATTTTCAAATATACAGGGTTAATCAATAAGATGCACCATTTGAATGGTGCAAAACTAAATGGACGTCTGTGTCCGTGATTTAAAGATTAGAATAAAGAAGTATTAAAGTAAACTTGATAAATTAACTCTTCTCTATTTGCTGAAGTTGTCTATTTGCGAAAAACTCGTAACACTTTTATTTAATTAATAAATTCTAATTGTAGTACACATACACAACATTACATCTTACAACTGGAGAGGATCATGTTTTTTTTAGTTTGATTAGGTACTTTAAATGTTCTAAAAAAATATTCTTTTTTCCTAGAACATGTTTCTTTTCAAATTCCGCAGGAGCGCTGTTTAAAAAAAATCTCCTGGAGGTTAACCATGAGTCTTTCTTTTAAATTCTTAACATACTGTTGTGAGACTGATAATTGGATGCCTGCAGAACTGGATGGACCTGGTGGAGTACGTAATACAGAAGTGTTTGAAGAGTAAGCAGACAAAGAATAACCCTGCAGCTACAGCCTTTTCAGCCTCCAACCATCATTGTACAGCCATCATGGAGCAAGACACCCAGCCAGCCACCTGCTACGAGTCAGTACATGTTTGAACACATTCTAGTCTGTTGTTAGCTTTATGAGAGTTGTATCTTACATATGATTGCACACTTGAACCAACTTTTGGGGTGTTGTCATTTTACTGAGCATTGTAGTGAGTAGTGAAGGCAATTATGCGTTTATCAAAATGTAGTTTTTATTTTGACTGAGTTTGTTACATTCAAACACATTGTAGAGTCATAAAAGCATCGTATATTCTTTGAGATTAGTATACTTGTTAATCCGACTTTAGAGCAGTATTGTCCTAGGTGAATATGTATGTAGATCATCAGGATGTCATCTCCAATTCATAAAATAATATTTTGCAAGTGTGTGTCAGGACCACAAGTTTGATTTCACTTTCTGTGTGTGTTTTTGCTGGTGCCATTGGCATTTTCATGTTTTAGCGAATTTCCCATATTAATTTCCCATAGTAATTAATAAGCTATTAATTACTGTAGTACTCATGGTAAGGCTTGGACCCAGGGACGATTTACACTTTTTCGTTTTGAGGTCCTTAGAGGCCAAAAACACTATCCGTTCAAACTCATATAATATATATATATATATTTTTTTTGTATTGACCGATGTAGGTTTTGGGTTTAGTAGAAATTTTAGAGTTTTTCCTTGGTATTGCTTGCACTATGCAAGCTATCTCTCTAAGACGGAGATTATTGAATACAATTTCATACTTTTTCTTTTGACAACTGGCATTATATTGACAGTTAATAGTAAGTTAATTCAAATTTTAAATATTTAATTACAAATGCGAGTATTTAAATATAAATGTGTCGGTTAGCACAATAACTCGAGCAAAAATGATTTGATTTTGAACAAATTTTGTATAAATGTGTAAACCTACATTTATTCAAATGAGTTCGCGAACCAGCATGATCAGACTATGGGAAAGGGGGTTTATGGGGTAAAAATTAGTTTTTCCTATTTTTGACCCAAAAAACCGAAAATTTAGCAATTTCTTTCCAAACCATTTTGTAAAGCTTAAAAAAACAAATAATTTAGTATATTGAAGCGTTATTATGCGCCTAATGGTTGGAGAAAATTCCAAAAAATTGTAAATTTAAAATTCCCATGTTATTCTTATGGAGAATAAGTAAACTGTTGTAGTTTGCTTGTTTAAGAACATATTTTGATCAAATTTGGAAGATGAATTTTTTTCTCACTAAACTATTAACATATTACAAAAAACCCACTTTTTTACCCTCCCTATTGCAGCAAACTTAAGTACTCGTTAAACTAATTCTATTTAAATAGGGAGTAAATGTGATATTTTCAAGGAGACATGCTAGTGTGAACCCAATCAGACAAATATAAATTTTCTTAGTTTGCAGATTTGCTGCGGCGTGGGTATTTTGTAATGGAACAGACCAGATTATGACTTTTGCCTAGCATCAACCTTTTGTTGGGGAGCATAATTAATTGATATCCCAATGAAAAGTGGCATCTGGGTCTAAATCGCTATCCTGTTTGGAATCAAATCATCGATTTTAAGATTTGAAGGCAAGCACCATAAAATCTTGGCAACAGAGACAGATTTTAAGTAATTTTATGGCATCCTGATGTGCAATTATACATAACTTCATGAGACAACATTGTATCCAAAGACAGATTCTTTACGACCATTTCAAAATTTCTAAAACCCACATACAAAATTAAATTTGCCCTTGAAAGTAGGCTTCCTTGATACAATTATTTGGGAGGGATGACTGTCGTTGAATGGGTAAAACATATTAATTGATGTTTCAGATGCGATGAAGCATTCTATCTTTAGAGCAAGTTACAATTCAATTGACTTGTAGCTTCAGTAGAATTGTAGCATACCCCAAAGGTGGATTGCCGAAACACATCCGAAACACATCAGCAAGTACCTTTGCCATTTCAATAAGACAACCATCTTCCAAAGATCAATTTTCGTCAACATTTATAGAATATTGGGGATGGCTTGGTTTGATTTTAAATGTCTTTGGCTTTCTCAATTCTTTGATAATGCTTTCAACATGTATGAGGTCAAATGCAATTACACACTGTTATCGTTTTCAAGGTATAAATCTTATCTTTTTTTTTCAAAATAAAACTACCCATATTCTCTTCACAGGAAAGTGGTAATCTCACTTTCATTATTATTCCTTTTTGTAGCTTGGATGTCAATGTTGAAATTGATCACACATAATACTACTTATTTAGTAGTTTCATGCTTATGTTACTTTTCCTTTATTTCAACTTTTATCCAGAACCAGAGAATGATGATGAACAGTTAATTCAGTCGGAGTTATATGTGTAACACATAACATATAGTAACCGATACCACGAATCTTCATTAACTGTGACTTAGCCTTAAGGAGCCTGACTTCAATGCCACTGTGCTTGCTAAAAATGCTTTAATGAAATTAGATCAAATTATTCTAGTAGTATGACTCAACCTTCCTAAATTTCTTGGCTTTTTGCTTTCATAGAAGTAGGTTTTATAGTTTTATATTCCCACTTTGAACAATGACTTCCACTCCAGTCTAATATACCTCAGTTCCTGGTCATTCAGGCAACACTTAAATAATTAAATAATAGTAGTTGTTTAAATAGTATGTTTTTTTATAAATGCTATACTTGTTGGTATTTATTATTAATGTGTTTTGTTTTTCTTTTGTAATTTCTCGTATGCATGACAAAGGTTGTCCTGAAAACCAGTATTGTATTGGGAAAGGCTTTTAGAGTCAATGCAAACTAACTGTAATTATTTGCTATAACAATTGCATTGTTGTATGTGTATTTGTAAAATTCTCTAGGCCTATATAGCTCTTTGTATTGGCAATCTTGAAGTTTATGTTTAGCCAAGCAGTGTGGAAAGTATTTGCACGCTTTAACTTTAGGCAAAGGTTTAGGTTAGAGTGCTTATTTATTCACTGTCCAGGCATCGGAATATCAAAGAAAGGGTGGTGCAGCTTATTAAGGAGATTTCAGACCCCCACGTTACTTTTGACAACAGGTATGTCTTCTGTTTATTCCTTAGTTCTTCAATGCCAAACTTCAACTCTTCAGTAGCCTAACAAGTATCTGTTTCCTCATTTTTGGTGCTATTTCTGATAAGTGACTCAGACTTTTATTTTTCTGACAAAAAACTTTTTACAATTTACTTGAGTTTTAACCTTTTTATTTTACTGTACTTCAGTAAACTCTCACAAAATAAACTTTTTTTTTAATTTACTTTAGTGAAAACCGTTTTATTTTTACCTCAGTAGACTCTCACAAAATAAATAAGGTACCTTTTTACATTTTAGTAATTCAAAAGAGCTGTTTTATTAATTTTGTCTATTAACTTATGTAAAAAATACCTAGTTAAAAAATTAGAACCTTTACTCATATTTTAATACCTAACCTATTTAATAATGCTTTTCTGTATCAGAAAAACAATTTTGAACGGGACAGCTTTATCATCATTCATATTCATAGTAGTGTAGAGGGCGGGGCTTCGGTGCCTGAGGTCCCGGGCTCAAATCCTGCCAATCACCAATGGATTTTATCTATGTTATAATGCCACAACTCGTTTAAAGTCACTCATGCATTCCCTAAATAACTTAACACTTTTTATTTAAACCTTTGTCTTTGTGAGATTCTGTTGTAGTCTTAGATTATCTATCGTTAGGAACCAAATAAGTCTTTGGAATGCTTATTGTAATATTCTATTCCTAAAAGTAAAGCTAGACCTAAGTTATTGTTTTTGTTTCTTTATGAAATATAATTTTTTCATTTGTAAAATTCTTTTTTAATAATCCACTACTGATATTATTAATGGCATCAACAATTGCAACATTATGTTTCCTTCTAATTATTCAGTTCAGTGGGCGTTTCGTGTCTCTCAGAGATGATGTCGCTAATTCTTTTAACTTGCAGGTGGAGCAAAGAAGACACTGACAATCTCTGTTGGTACTTCCCTCAGAGCTTGCCGATGGATGATCCGATCGGACACATCGCACAGCTGTTTACCGAGAACTGCGGAGTCAAGAAGAACCGACCAGAGGTAACATAATACTCTAGTAATTCCATCCATTTTGTAATCTGAAAAACACTACTGGTACCCAAGGAAGTTGATAATCTGTCTTACTAAGAGTGTAGCCCATGATTAAAAACACAATAACTGATGTGTTGTAACTCGAGTACAGTTGACTATCTCTTGTTTTAATTGAAAACCTTGGGACTGAAAAAATATGCTAAGAAATATTTAAAAAACTGGTTTTTTGGAATTTTCTACATTTTTTTTAAGAAACAGTCCAATACCTAGTTATGATCTGAATTAATGCTAATCTGTAAACCATGAGGAATAAAAATAGGTCAGAGCAATATTGAAAAGTTTATGATAAATTTTACCTTGTCTGTGCAAATTTTGTTGAGTAGGTACTAGAATTCACAATCAACTCTCTGATGAAGTCAAAGAAATACTGGAACTAAGGAACAAATCTTAAATAGTTACAATAGTTTAGCTTATAGTTAGAGAAAATACTCTTTTCGTACAGTCACCCGACAAAGTTGGCTTCCTTGTACTGTTTATAGTACAGAAAGCTGCTAATTGCTGCATATTTATACTTTGTCGTACGGTTTATACTTTGGCGCACATCAGGATTCCAACGAAACAACACAAAACAGCGTGGTTCTATTATGCACGTAATCCGTGTACGATTGGAAATAGGTTGGCAACACTTAAAGATAATAATACTATGATCAGCTGATTGACTATTATAACTAAGATTTAACCTGTCATTTCGTGTTTATAGTTTGGGTATTTCTGAACTTTCTGGGCTTTTCTTTTAAACGTTTTTAAAACATTCCTACGATCTTAATAAACAAGAAAATACCTTTAAAGCATTTTTTTAGGCATGGAAACCATTTCAAACTACAAAAACATACGGAACTATTTTCTCAAGTCGTGGAGCACATAGCTTGCCGAGGAAAAAATAGCGGAGTGATACGGACCGGTGACTACTTTCTCTAGGGCACCTATTTGTGTTGCCAGCTGAACCTAAAAACGTGTTGTGTATAGTGTTTGAAAGACTAATTATTTATATGCTTTATAGTACCTGTAGGAAAAATATAATGTGTAACACGAGTGCAAAAGGCCTTTGCTGCACTCGAGATCATTCCGCAAACATTGCTCTCGTGTGCAGCAAAGTGCCACTTTGCTCACTAGTTACACAAATAACTATTTCCTACAGTTACGGTACCTAAAAATTTACATGTTCTCCCACTGATTTGAGAAAGCAAAGTGGCCAATTCGCTTATCAGTGAGACAATGTTAACAATGTCTCACTCTAATTACTTTGTCTCACTCCAGATTTGCAACGAGAAGGCACGAAATAGTGAGCGCGTAACATGCAGGTCGTATGCACGCGAAATACGTTGGCAGCACTGGCTGTAAATCAGCTGGTACTGTTGTATCATTAAATGTCATATTAAAAGTTCACTTCTGTGTAAAAATATGTTACGTTTCTTTACCAATTTATTTGTTTTATGGTAACTGTAGGAAAAATATAATGTGCAACTCGAGCGCAAAGTGCAATTGCTCACTAATTGCACAAATAACTATTGCAAGACCAACACACTTTTATTTAATTTATGAGGATAATAATTTTAATAGTTGCTTAATTTTGTGAAAATAATTTGACACATTGGAAAGCAATATATAACTCTGTCTTATTTGTTGCAGATTGTTGAAAACCTGTTCAAAAATGGTCTTATAGTAGAAGAAGAGTACAAGTGTCTGATAGAAAGAGAATCTACGGTAAGCTTACAAAACACAATGCCTATTTATTTGTAATGTTAAAGATATTTTAAAAGTCAATATGACAATTTTGTCTACCATCAATTTTTCATGTAGCCTATTATAACCTTCAGGTTGTATTGATATTTCATGATATATTGAATTTTAGCCTCCTGATCACATTTAAATACTATAAATTGGTTTAAATACCTGCATTTATGTGATCCAAAAATTGCTAAATTGCAACTGGTTTTGACTTACATAGGAGTCATCATCAACTAGTAAAGATGTCTTCTTGCTTCATTCGAAGGTCGCCAATTGATAATAAATAAATAAGACAGGCACACGTACACGAACATAAAAACAAATATTAACGACCTTCGAATGAAGCGAGAAGACTTTACTGGCCTGATGATGACTCCTAATGTGAGTCGAAACCGGTTGCAATTTAGCAACACATTGGATCGCATAAATACAGGTATTTACACTAATTTATGTATCGATTTATTAATAGATTCAAGTGTTGTTCCTTTTACAGCTATAAGTATTGCTTTTATTTTATTGGGTGGGTTTCAATGATATTGGCATTTTTTAACTTTTTAGTAATGATTCTTGTTAACATTGTCCTTTTGTTAGTTACCATAATTAATTGGTAGGCAAATGTTTATAGTTAATGAACCGTTTTTTTTTTTTCAGAACAATCCTGAAACCATTCAAAATGTTACTCCTGAAATGGACGTTCTTGAAGGGATCCAAGTAATCATAGGTAAGAAATAGTGATGGGTTGGTTTTTTGGTACCACCTTTACAATGTCTAGTACCGGTGCCCGATATAAATTGATAACAAATTTGAACGAATGGTGTTTTTGGCCTCTGGAGACATCAAAATGAAAAAGTAAATTGGTCCTGGCCTAGGTCTTACTGTGCCACCTACGGTAATAGCTACTTTCCTATAGGTTGAATTCGCAAGTAAGCTAGTTACTCCTGAAAGAGAATTGTAAGCTAACCTGAGAGAGATTGTAAGCTAGTTAAATATTACTAAAGGCCCATAGCAGGAATTGCTGCTCTTTATTTTTGTAGGCTTTACAAATTGAAATGAAATACACACTTTTTTACACATTTATACTGCACTAAATTTATAATTCTATACAGCCCCTTTCTCCCTCCCAACCATTGTTTATTTCAATCACAGTGAATCATAGAACTGGTGATAACAATTTGGTATTTGGGGAGTCCATCTTTATTAAACACAAAAGAAATATGTCAATCGTCAATAAATGTGTAAAGTTAATAAATTGTGCAAGTGGGAATTTACCGGTCTCGGGGGACTGGCACCGCTAGAACGACGGGCAAAACACAGTATAGGTTATGTAACGCTAGCAACGCACATGCAATAACTCCAGTCCTTTCCACAAGGTCTTACCACACTGAATGATTAATTTCAGCATGACCTGGCCAGGCACAGGTGTCCCTCCCTTCCCTTGACAAGGTCCTAGAACCACCACTGATCGCAGAACACATCTGCAGGAGATTTCCAGGAATTTGCCGTGATTTCTGAGGATGTCGATCTCTACACCTCCACGAGAGATGACCCGAATTTTATAGCCCAATTTTACCATGAAGACGTTGATGATGTACACACTAGTGATGGTCAAAACCAGGAATTTCAAATCTCAAACCCGAAACCAATACTTAAAAAATCCAATCTTAAATCTCTAAACCTGAACGCCAAACGTTTTTAGTTACCTGGTCAAGGTTGATAAAAAGAAATAAGAATTTTAAAATTACCTACATACTGATATAAGGAGTAACTTGAGTCTGTAACAAGAAGTTTTTTAATTAGCTCTCTCCGGGTGTTATTGGAATAAAGCTGTTATTGGTAATGGATAGTTTACTACCAACAACTAGAACACAACTAAGATGGTGATCTGGTGAGCCACTTTAAGCCATGATCCTTCTTTGACCATTAAGTTCACCGCTTTTTGTTGAACTGTTTTGATCTTTTAAGAGTTTTGTTGTTATCTTTCAAGACTACTTTCTCATCTGAGCAAGAGGTCAAATTCCAGAACATAAAAACTTTATGAAAACTTTTTTAAACTAACTGTGATGGAAAAATGTCCACAAAAGTCCTTTAAATAACATTAATGGTTTGTTTGTTGCAGACTACCTACACGGTGAACGTTGTGGTTTCTTTGTCAAGTGGTTGCAGACATGTCTGCTAGAGGCTTGTTACGCTCGGTTACTTGTGGACGAGCAGCAAGAGCCTCGATACGACCTTGTGGAGCCTGCTACTTACTTCTACACAAGTACGTTAACTTTGCCTTTATTTCTTACCCAATTACTTTGTAACTGCAACTAATAAATAAGCCAAAATAGTAGGGACTTTTATGATCTTTTAAAAATTGCCTTAATCAGTCAGATGGAAAGCTAGGGTTTGCACGGCAGCTTAGATGAATTGCAAATGATATCAAGCGAGCAACTTCAAAACTTTAATAATGTAGATGTAGTAGGAAGAAACTGTCATGATGGCTGCTCTGGTGATAGCAGTCAGCTGTGGTATGTTGGACTTGCGAGAGGCAGAGACAGATGTTGTCGAAACTCAGTAGTGTTTCCATGAACATCATGGTCCGTACAAATTGCCAACTGAGCAAAAAGGGTTGGATAGCAATGGGTTAGGGCAAATGCTTTTCAGAAAGTAATGTTAATTTTTAAAAAAATGACAGGCATGTGACTCCTCTTATAGCACATAAGAGACAATATAGCATTGACTTATATCAGAAATATTTGACCATTTTGAGTCCAACACTCCACAAAAACACCTAAGTTTCCTATTCCTAAACCAGAATAGACAAGACACCCAAACACTGAATGAGAACAAACCCCCTTCCCTTGCACCACACACACTGCTGTTCTTGTCCCGACATCTACAAGTGCCTGGTAACGTTAGGAGTACTAGGGTGTTTTCTCCTGCCTTTTTGCCCAAAACGTGGTGTTATGATTGGTTATTGTGACAGTGCTGAAGCTGCCTGTGCCTTTGGTCACCTGGACCCAGGACCTGTGGAAGGTGATGCAACTAGAGCCTAGTCTATGGCTACTCTCAGCACTCAACTTCCACCTGCCCACACGTACGGGTGAGGCACGTATCTTCGCCAGGATACCAGCGGAGTGGACACCCGACCATCTCTACGTGGCCGCACTCATCCTCGGCCCAGTAGACTCACGTGAGTAGAGCCAAACTGTTGTGTTCAAGTAAAAAATTGTTCTCAAGTTTTATGTTTTTTTTCTACATTGTTAGCATAGTTTAGAGGAAGCCATCAAAATCATGATGTTACTAATCTACCAACCTTTTGTTGGATAGCGTCATATAACAAATGACGCAATGATCCTGTTGGAGATCTTCAGATTTTAATACAACCACCCAGCTAATTAGACAATTTGCATCCAAATCGTTGGATTTTGGACATAGTTAACTAGCAAAATCAAAATATGGATTTTGGACCCTTTGAACTCCATGAATTATTCAATGATTTAATGTTATCTATTTTGTTTATTTTGTCATCTTATGACCACAACAATCTAAACTATTTAGAATAAAGTTTTTGATGGATGGTTGTTGACTTCCACCTTTGACTATTAATACAACAACTAGACATTCCATCCCCATGTTGTAGCCAGGTTTTTAATAAAATTTGTCTTAGTTGATGTGAGCCACCTACAGATTACGCTGATCTAAATTACTGATTTCTGTCGATTACACGATGGTTTTTACCAAATCAAACCGATGGAATGACTTATTATGAGCTATAGCAACTGTTGTGACACAGCAACTATGTCAGTAACAACAAATAAGGTACAAAATAGAGTTTTAGACACCAGCGCAATCTGTGACTGGCTCACACAACTACATTATTTTTTAGTAAAAAAATGGCGACAGCTGATCCATATAGATGGGATGTCTTCTTCTGTTTCCAATAGTCAATGCTTCCACACACGCCAAGATTAAGGGCTTGGAGCATATGTCAGTTTTAACTATCAGCTGTTTTTGTAGAAGAATTCTCTCATAGGTTGTATGTGGATGTTTGATAATGTAAATTTTACGATTGGCAATGAGTTTGGAGTTCAAAGGGTTGCTTGAAAACTTTAAAGGCCTGAAAACGGGGTAGCTTACACCCTGATATTTCAGGGGATCTAACCCCCCCCCTAATGCCCACCCCCTGGGACCGCCACTTAGTGGTTGTATTGTGCCTAAAAATATTAGGCACAATGAACGATCCAATTGTATGTTTTAGTTTTAGTAAACTTATGACTTTGTAGACCACCATAGTCCGTAGAGCGTACATTTAGATTAAATTTGTTTTTATACAAAACCAAAATAATTTTACAAAAAACATATAACACATGAATAATATAGAGAGCAAAATGTTAAAATATATTTCATCGATCACAAAATATTGAAGCCTGATAAGTGTATGCATGTCATCTTGTGTGCAGACAACATGAAGTTTGACCCCTCTAAACTGAACGTGATACAACAGACAGAGGGGCCCACCATCTCCTCTGCTACGGCAGATCAGCCTTCTAGCTTCAGATTTTTCCTTGGGTATGTACAGTACAGTTTAAATTGAGGTGTCAAGATTTAAGGAATTTGTATAATTGAATAGCAGGATTGTCTATCTCTGGAGATCGGGTATTGGCTTTTTGCTATGAATAAGTCAACCTTTGCAGTTGTACAAAATAATTTTATTTTCTATTTTTCTATGGAAGTTTTACACACAAGATTTGATCTACTCAGATATGAATACAGTGTGAGTCTTCTAAGCTGTCCAAAAAAGATTACAGACGAACGGCTTGACATACAGAGATGAAACAACACTTTTCCCCACTAATTCATACCCAAGGAACATCGTAAAAATATTTTTACCATTTTTAAAATACAGGGTGTTCAAGAAACTGGGGGTCATGGGTTCGAATCTCAGAGTTTTCAAATGTAAACATATGTCATGTTATGCATAATTTTAAAGCTCTAGACTAGACAAACAATTTAGTGAAAACAGAACTCATTTTTCTTTGTCCGTTTCAAAATGGCGGCCAATATAAAATATTGATATTTACAGAATACCCTGTATCTTGAAAACCACTAAACTTATTTTCGTTCTGTTTGAAAATTCTTAATCCTCGTAGGTTCAGCTTTAATTTGACATACAACAAGTCAACATTTTAAAAACTAAATATTTTTTCTATGATTTCAATTTTTTTTAAGTTGGTAGCCTTGTAAATGAAAATTTTTAAATTGCAACATTTATGTAAAAGTGTGTATAATTTTGAAGGTCTTGTAAAAACAAACAACTTTTAAATTTAAACCTACCGTCTATCTTTGGTCGTTTTCTAGTAATTAACCAAAAACTCCAATTGCCCATATAAAACCCATGTTAAACGTACAGTACTGGAGATTAGTGGATGGAGATACACTATCCCCATGGTACTGCGCGTTTAACATGAGTTTTATATGGGCAATTGGAGTTTTTGGTTAATTACTAGAAAACGACTAAAGATAGACGGTAGGTTTAAATTTAAAAGTTGTTTGTTTTTACAAGACCTTCAAAATTATACACACTTTTACATATGTTGCCATTTAAAAAATTTTAATTTACAAGGCTTCCAACTTAAAAAAAAAATTAAATCATAGAAAAAATATTTAGTTTTTTTAATGTTGACTTGTCGTATATCAAATTAAAGCTGAACCTACGAGGATTAAGAATTTTCAAACAGAACGAAAATAAGTTTAGTGGTTTTCAAGATACAGGGTATTCTGTAAATATCAATATTTTATATAAAAATGGCCGCCATTTTGAAACGGACAAAGATAAATGAGTTCTGTTTTCACTAAATTGTTTGTCTAGTCTAGAGCTTTAAAATTATGCATAACATGACATATGTTTACATTTGAAAACTCTGAGATTCGAACCCATGACCCCCAGTTTCTTGAACACCCTGTATTTTAAAAATGGTAAAAACATTTTTACGTTGTTCCTTGGGTATGAATTAGTGGGGAAAAGTTTTGTTTCATCTCTGTATGTCAAGCCGTTCGTCTGTAATCAGTTTAGGACAGCTTAGAAGATTCACCCTGTATATTTTAAGCTGTCAGTAAAGCCTGTGCTCTTGTCTTCCACCGAACATTATCAATACTTGTATATTTTTTCAGATCTTCATTAAAAGCAGATTGGATTCAGAAGGTCAAGCAGCTCAAAACATTTCTCAAAGCTCAGCCTATGTAAGTAACTTTCCTATTTATTTTAAAGTGATTGTATTAATTAAAAAAATAGTATGTTTTTTTTTGGGAAAATAAGACAGTTTTTCTTAGTTTATAATCCATATACTTTTATAATACCTTATATTTTTTCTAGAAATGGTCTAAATCTTGTACAGACTCAAGCTCAGATTTAAATTATTAGTATTGTGAGAGTTACTGTTAGCTCTAGATAAATTTTACCGTGATATTTGTTTTTGTATATTGGCTCAGTCAGGCCATAGGACGGTGTTTTGATCGTGTAAAACACTGATTTTTTATTTTAAGATTAAAACAACGCTCTATGGACTGATTTCTATTTTATTTTTTTCAAACTGGATGTAACACAAATTTGTTGAGAGTATGGTAACCTCGTGAGATACTTCCAAGAAAAAAGACAATAGGAATTTGTAACAAAAAATAAAATGACGTTATTATCTCAGTGTTTGAGATACTAACGTGAATAATATGGTTAAATTGAAATACTTAAAACCTAAAAAATCATATTTTTTAAACACTGAAGTAAATTAAACTCCTGACACTGAACATAAATTTGATATCAATAAGTAAGTTTTGAATCTCAAAACCAAACTTTTCCAAAGTTTTTAATTTCTCTGGTTTCTAATGATATTTGGATTTTACACATCACTATACTTAAATTCACTATTGTAATGTTATCATATTAAACCATTGTACCCTGTTAACCAAAACAATGCTTCAGGGAGGACAAGCACGAGCGGATGAGTCTGATCAGCGGAGACGAACGTGACTGGGACTTAATTTCGTTGTGTGTTAGTGACGAAGACACACGACACGACGACTCGACAGCCACCTGCCTCGCCTCTCATTGAACACTATTCCCTTGTGATATGTGCAATATTGAGCCAGCTGGACGGACACACACTCATCACAGTCGAGAACTATGACATCAGCCGGACGTGTTTCTTTAAGTTTTGTTGTTTACATGATTTGTAGTCCTGACGAACTTACTGGTGGTGTTTATGGATGAATTATAATATTCTATAATATTTCTTCAGAAGACATATTTTTTACTCCGTCGATTTATGGTGATTTTGTACACACTAGAGGTTGTGATGAGTGTGTGTGTGTCGTGCCCAAATTATTTTATGACTTCCTCAGCTCCACCTCAAACTTAGTGCAAACACTTCGTGCTTTCTAACCTACCATGTAACTATTCCAGCCAAAAGTGCTGTGTGATTTCATCTGCCATTCTGTAAAATCGGACAGGGGGGATGTTGTCTTACTGGAATGATTTTTTATATTTAGATATAGGTAGTTGTCATTTCAATTAACAAATTTTAAAACTTATTTTATCCTGTTCAAGTTAATTTCTGTGTGTTTTATCCCTTCAGAAAGATGATCAAATTAACATTTATTTTATTTCAGTAATGACGAATTATGGAAAATTATATTATCTTGCTCTAAGGTGGAATGTAAGTAGTTATGTAGGTATATTGTTAGTATCTCATAAATGTCCCCTTAATCAAACTGAAAAGTAGTTACCATTCTATATGAGTGAACTTTTTGCATACAGGCTCAGAAATCAGAAAATCAGATTAAAATGTCAATAGTAGACAAGATGGATCTATTTTTATAACTCTGTAACCAAGTAAAATGTATTATTTACTTAATGTTTTTTTTAAATACAATTTGAGGGATTTTAACGAGGCATTTCCTCTTGTTTGTTATTTTCCCTTAATCATTAAAAAAATCCTAAGTAAACAAACAAGCTAACCAGTCATTTGGGTTGTGTAAAAAAAGTATATTTCTTAATTCTTGGAAGCCGGCCCTAGATAATGTTTGATAATAAACAATAAGTTAGACAAATTTATTTCAAACTCCGTTTCCGCTCAAATGGACGGATTGAAGAAGCCTGTGTATAGCTGATAACACCACTCACTGTAACTATGCTTATTGGTTATGGTGTAATCTATCACTAAAAGATTATGTAAGTTTACCAAGATGTTTAGGTAGTAAGAAACAATATTAGATGAGAGAAAAATCTAGATAAAGTGATTAAATGTTAATGTTTTAATCATATCGTAATGTAGTTGTTTTATAGTTGTTTTTTTTTCATATTAAGTTTTTATCTTAAACCATTTACCTGTTAAAAATGTATTTTTTCGTATGATCTGATGTTATCTTTAAAGAAAATGTCTTTGTTTTGAAGGAAGTCCTGCAGTGTCTTTATATATGTGTAGCCTACCTATATCAGTTGTTAGTATTTTTCTAAGTATATTATCTTACATTATGTTGCTGTTAATAATGTAGACTGATGGAGTCGAGTTTAACTTATCCATGTTACAGCTAAGAACTGAAATCACTGTCAAACCTTCGTATGAAATATTTACTCAAATGAATTACCTTATCATAGTAAATAATGTGTGTCTTGTGAATTGTCATATAAAAATATATACATGTTACAGTAAAGCGATGAAAGTAAAGTATTTTATAAAGTCATAAATTCATTAACCTCTTGCATTGTTAAGCATAATTTAATCAAATTACGGACTTTAAAGGGTTATATTAGATCATTGATGTTTGCGTTACATCTATACTTATTTCATACGCAGGCAGGTTGTTTGTGACAATTACTCCTCCGAAACTACTGAACCGATTGACATGTTTTTGGTGTCATTGGAAAGAGCGTAACGTGAAGTTGTGCAGGAAACTTTCTTTTTAGGGAAATAATTAGAGAAAGGGCCCTGGGGCCTTTTGAAGTTTTGTATTTCTCCATAAGATTAACTTGGGAAAAAACATTGTTAAGAAACTCCAGCTGTTGTCAGAAATTAAAAGTGAGACGAAGAACATGTGTTAATTGTAAACAGTCAATAAGTTTGCTAATTTAACAGTTTGCTATAAACACAAATACCCCCGCCGCAGCAAACCTGCCGACTAAGCGAATTTCCATTTGTCTGAATTGATTTTCAGTTAAATATATTTTAATAACATTAGGTTTAACGAGTACCTAGGTTTGCTGTTACAAGGAAACTAATAAAGTGTGTTTTTGAGTAAAATATTGATAGCTTAGTACAAAATAAATAAATTTGCCAAGTTTGATCAAAATATATCCATAAACAAGCGAACTACAACATTTGACAATATTCTCCATAAGAATAACATGGGAATTTTAAATTTACAATTTTTTTAATTTTCTCCGTTACTAATAATCGAACAAAAATACTTTTATATACTAAATTATTTGTTTTTTTAAGCTCTTTAAAAAGGTCTAAAGAGAAATCGGGAAATTTTGTGTTTTGAGGGTCAAAAGTGAGGAAAACCAATTTTTACCCCATAAAACCCCCGTAAAGCCCCGTTCCCATGGTCCGATTTTGCTGGTTAGCGAACTCATTCAAGTTTATCCCGCTTTACACCTTTAAACCAAATTTCATCAAAATCGGACAAAAATTACTCAAGTTATCGCGTTCACGGACGTATATATATATATATATATATATAAGTCTATATATATATACATATATAAAAATTTGAACGAATGGTGTTTTTGGCCTCTGGGGACATCAAAATGAAAAAGTAAATCGGTCCCGGGTGTAGGTCTTACCGTGCCACCTACGGTAATAGCTACTTCCCTATAGGGAAATTCGCTAAAATTTACTGACTTGGTTGAAATGAAATATTTACTATTTGAATTTGGGTTGGCTTAAATATTACAATGGAATAAAGCGAGAGAGCCTGGATAATTTGATATACTCAAAAGAAAACTGAATTAACACTGTGCTGCATTTCTTAAGAGCTGATTTGCAAACTATAGTTTCATAGGAAAGTCATAGAACACTGCCAAGGAAAGAAATAGCAATATTTTTTTTATTTTAGAATTTATAATCGTTATTATGGACAACCTAATGCGGCTATGAGTAGGGCTATTTGTAGAAAACACCAAAAAACAAGATCATCTCTTGAAAAATGATAAGATATTTATAAGAAATGTTGATTATATCGATCTGTTATGTACATCTTGATTATTTCCATAATTTTTTATTATAATAATATATATGGTTCTTACCACGAATACTAGAAAAATACCGGTATGGTTCATAAACAAATGACGTTTTTGGCCTGAAAATTAACATTATTTAACATTGCTTAAATGGAACTGCCAAAACATATGCTAACGTTATTAGTATAGGATTCGGGCCAACAACGTAATTTGTTTATGTTTATGATCCATACCGGTATTTTTCTAGGATTCGTGGTACTTACCGTCTGCCACGCAATCAGGGGTGATATTCCACTACAGCCATTTCGGAGATAACTCCATCGTGAGGTGCTTAGTGATACACTTAACACACATTGTTAAATGTCTTGTCACATTTAACACGAAAAGTCTTCATTTGCATTGCGTCAGGAGTTGAATAAATATTACACACATCAAAACAGGACGGAACAATAAACCGGTCGGCAGTTTTCAAGCCGTGCACGGGCTCTAAATGTTTTTGTGAATTTGTGTTTTCATATGTCCGTCCTGTTTTGATATGTGTAATATTTATTCAATCCCTGACACAATACAAATGAAGACTTTTCGTGTTAAATGTGACAAAACTATAGTTTAGTGTACCACTACGCACCTGACGATGGAGTTATCTCCGAAACGGCCTTAGTGGAATATCACCCCTTATTGCGTAGACGGTAAGAACCATACATATTATTATAATATTTTCACGCAATCTGTCACACTCAAGAATATAATCTTTGAATCAAATCTTTTAAAGTCATCAGAAATTATGACTGTTGTTCATTTTAAAATAACACCTGCAATACTTAGCAATTGCTCGAAGTCGAGCAACAGGTACACTAGTGTGATTAATTAGGCCTACTGTACCTACTCCTACCATACAATAATTGGAATCAGGTAGCCTAAAGTAATTAATTAATGTAATGGGTGTAATTTCATATCAAAGAACAGAAATATATAATTGTTATATATTGTACCTTTACTTTAATATGAAATACTTACTCTTTCTCTTAGGCTATGAATTTTTTAGCGATGGGATCAAGCCGGATTACTGAAGTATGGATTATTAATAGAGGGCCAATGTTTAAGTTCTTTTACTGTACTTCAACTTTTTTTTATTTAGAAAAGTGCTAAAAATGTATACAATATATAATCCAGAAGATTAATGTCAATGGAAAGTTGAAGCTTGCGATTTTACTTGAGAAAAATTAGCATCTAGTCATCATGCTTTCAGGTCCTAATCCCGTTAGTTATCTTGTAAACAGGCAACAATAATGGAAAACAAGATTGCATTAAATTGATATATTTATTTAATACGATAACATGGTTAATAATAGTGTAATTTGCAATACATTATTGTTTAACATATTCAGTCTCTAATATGTCATTAGAATAAATTATATTTATCTTTCCAAAATAGTGAACTTATCTATATGTACAGGTGTCTTGACTATTCACACTTGTTCTTGACAGTGGCCATGATCATGTTAGTTTGGTGAATCAAGTACAATGCGCTGATAAAAACTGCGTTTGCTCTGCAACAAACCAGTTTAAAGTCAACAACTTGCATAAACACAACCAGAATGCCCTACATTTTGTCTGTAGGCTAAATAGTTAGCGGAATATTTATCTACCTAACAACATGTAGATTCTATTGGTTATATTGGAGATTATATTGGTTAATGAGTAATCATGGATAATCAAAATCGTGGATATTGCAAACCTAACATAAAATGTCCAGGAAATAACCTACATTGACTTTGAATGTACAGTTAAGGTTTAACACAGGTTTAGGTAACAACACATTTTCAATGCAGTGTAAATATGTTTTAACTTTGATTCTCACAAGTCTTTTTACAAAACAAATAACCATGGAGAGCCTATGTATGTATAGGTCTAGTAATAAGATCAATTGAAACCCACACAAATGTATAGCCTTTGGATAATTATGAAACGTTATAACCTCATGATAATATTTTCCATCTCTTTGGTGCGAGGTTTTAGAATGCACTTTGATACCTTTGTTTGAATGACTTGCAAAACTACTGAAATATACAATTGTAACTTATCAACTTGTCAGTTGTAATTGGTGACTCATCTGTGATTGGTGGTATAAACAATGGCAACCCTACAGTCTTTAAACATCTTGGTCGTCACTGTATAACGTACAATAAATACAGGCATATGTAGACTAATTTTCTTTTTACTTTGGTTTATAGCAATTGCGGCTAATCCACAATGTGGTTAATTTACTGGGGCTAATCAGGAGTCTACTGTATCAAAATTCTGGTCTTAACATGGTCAGAGAGGAAGTACCAAGGAACATGCAAAAAACTACATGCTTATTGCAAATCTGTCCACAAACTTAGTCGAGAGAAACATAGGGAATTAGGCAAAAATCTTAAATGTATTGAAACATTTCAAACTTTATGATGTCATGAAACATTATGAACTAAAAATAAATATGTTCCATCTCTTTGGTGTCAGGTTTAAGAATGTACTAGGTGATACTTTCATTTAAATGAGTATCAGTTTGAGGAACTATTATTTTTATGACCTAAAAATTGCTGGGTAACTTTATATTCAAGATTGGCTAAACACTAATTAGAAGTAGACGGTAGGGCCTAGTTAAGTTTGTAATAAGTGTAAAATTTAGTAATTTACTGAATTTGAAAATCTTTTAGTCAGAAAATATATTTATTATTAACACTTACTGGCCCTCTCTGAAGTAGTCCTTGAGAGTGTTGCTGAAACGTTTAGAGAATTTAACAAACTCTCTTTTCCGCTGTTCTAAAGCCTGTTTCCCATTTGGTCCTGGAATGAATCCAGCGATTTCATTGACTGCATCCAACAGCTTCTTAATGGCACTTGCAATCTCCCTGGGGTAAACAAGTTCATGAGCAGGACTTCTTATTAACAATAATTTTGTAAGCTGTCAACAGCACGGATGTTCTATTATAAACCAAAGATTAAGTCAGAACAAAATTCTTCATTGGGCATGAGCATGAGTTTTGAAGTTTATTCAAGACGATTCAAAACTGATATAGCCTAAGTATTTCTATATGAGTTGCTAGCCTATGTTTATTCATTAGCACAGCGTCGGATGAGGCCCAAATAAGTTATTGAAAGACATTAGGCCCTATATAATTTTTTTCTGTTAATTCAGATATAAGCTACTGAATATAAACATGTTTTTTGTATTGTATAATTCTAGGCTCCACTGAAAATCCTAAATTTAAAATCTTTTCATTAAATATAAATAACATTTAAAGTCTAAGCAACTTAGACGACTGTTTATAGATCAATGACCAAATAACTCACTTTATAGTTTCAAGGAATGTTTTTCTGTCTGTTATTTCATCAGGTATCCTACTGAGGATTTTTTTCAGTGCTGCCGACTTTCTATTGAGTTCCTGGAATGCATCTTCTGAACGACTTAATCGGTACTCCACAGCTGTAACAGCCAAAACCTGGATATAGCTGAGTTGCATGAATAAATAATCATCTCAAACCAAAAAATACATAAACGGCTGTAAATATTACTTAGCTCAGTGTAAGCAAAGATTTCTTCTTTTTTTAGTAGAAAATAAAACTTTGAAGGGTAAAGATCACTTAACTAAAAGATTAGGTAGGACTATATGAAAGAAAACTAGGTATAGGTACCGGTGGTGAAAATGTAATCATTAGATACTTAAAAGGATAAAAACCAGTCCTTGTGAGTAACAAAATACCGAACTTTATATGTAACAAATCACCTGCACCTTCTCTTTATTTAGGCTAATGGAAAATTTGAGTTTATCTTTCAAGGTAGGCCTATTTTAGATGGTAGGATTGTTTATGATTTTTGGTGGTTTTCACAAATTTTGTTTCCCTAAATACTGCAGCCGATTATCATATGTGCTAAGTCTGTAAATGAGCAGTTGTATTTACATAGATGCCAAAGTTAACTTAAAGTAATGAATAATATAATGTTACCTTCTACCATTCCAAATTAGTGTAGTCTACGACATGTTTCCCCAACACAGTGACATCATCAGGTTATCCGCTATCGCTTCATCATGAATATTAAAATAAAACAGTCATTGCACAATTCACAAACACATATTTAATAGGTACAACATATAAAGACCAATCGGTATTGTCGTCGCGGTGGCCACAACTGTTTTATTTTAATATTTAAGACAAAGCGATAGCGGATAACCTGATGATGTCACTGAGTTGACGAAACACGTCGTAGACGACACCAATTTGGAACGGTAGAAGGTAACATTATATTATTTATTAATAACTAATGTTCCAGTCGTAGGAAATGAATTCTAATTAACTTAGTAGCCTAACCTAGTTTCAATTTTTCTCTCTCAGACAAGAGAACTTGATGATAACTTACATAAAATATTTTTCAATGTATACTCTTATTTTGGTTTTGTAAACTTGGGCCTTCAGTTGCCCCAGAATTCTATTCCATATACGTTACTGAATATAAGTTAACTTTTAACTTAGGCCGATTAAAAAAGCAAGGTACACAAACAAGTTTTTTTAACACCTCTCACCATCAGTTTCGGAAGCTGCTCCTTGAAGCCGAAGAATACTTTCATTCATATTCACACTAAGGTCTCCCTGCCTCATAATGCCTACTACAAAGTCGTATGTGAACCCAGGATGAACTGACTCGACTTTGGTTAAGGCTGCTTTCAGTGTCTGAGATGCAACTCCATCCCTTCTCTCCAACTGTAACACAAATTCACAATTAACTTATGTAAGTTAGTAACCTTAAGCTAAGCTTAGTTGTAACAATTAAGTTAAGTTAAATAACTGAAATCTGAATCTGGCCTAAGGTAACTTAGGCCTTAGAACTTAAGTTATAGGTGACTTCTAATTTACTATTTCGTTTGTTATAGGAATCTTTAACATAGGCCTAACATTCTAATGTAGGCCTACCCTGTTTGAACCCTTAAATGCATTGTTCAATATTGCATGCCAATACAGTGTGCATCGCACTGTAAACATATTAACTTAACTTTCGAGCACTGCATTTTTTAACCTGAAAACATCAATCGTTGGTACCGATGTTGCCATTGATGGTTGACCTATCTATTTATTTATTTATTTTTACGACAATCGCCACTAAATAATACATGAGACATGACATACATGCAACAAGACACAAAAGAAAACATTATATGGATGCGCAAGAAATTACATCATGAAGAGATTACAATGATAGTGTGTGAGAGATAGCTAGTGTGAAGTGGGGTAAGTGTGACCTAAAAATCATAAAGTTCATCTTTACAATTTTTATTCTCGGTTATTTCTAAAGCTAGAAACTTGAAATTTTTAACCCAAACTTTGGAAATATCTTTATTGGTAAAAAAAAAAAACAATGTGATAAACTTATGCTTTCACTATTTTTTTTACTTACAAAAAATGCCTGCCAGCTGTAACACTTGCCCCATGGGGTCGGGGCAAGTGTGATAGCGGCCTCTAAAAAATCATGTATCTCTTTTAATGGTAAATGGGGCAATTGTGATAAATACCCAGTTAGTGCTCTTTCAGGAACATTTTGATTTAAGTCCCTATCATTCTTACTTTTTGAGATATTTACAAATGAAATAAAGACGTACAAATCTGCAGAAGTTTGTATAAACTTGCATCAGATCACACAGATTACATCAGATCACACTTGCCCCGGGTGTCGGTGTCACACTTGCCCCAGCCATTGAAAATTTCCGGGGTAAGTGTGACATGTGGTTTTAAATTTAATGAAAATTTGTACACGTTTTAAATATTTTTTTTTCTAAAAGTTTAGCTTTTAGGCTCTTTAAAAATCTGAGTTTGATATAAATTGGTCAAAATTTAAAATAACTACAAATTAAACAAAATTTCCGAACAAACTTTGATTTTGACCTAAAATGTCGGACTTATAAATACAATACCAATAAAATCAACATACAGTAGGCCTAGTTACTAAATTGATAAAAAACTATGTAACTAGATACCTTATATGTCAAACATTATTTCTATGACAAAACCAATTTTTTCAGCGATTCCCAAAAACAAGATGGTCGGCTATCACACTTACCCCGCTGTCACACTTACCCCACTCCACCCTATATCCCTCCGAGCGTCACTCGTCGAAAAATCGACGCGCGACACACTTTGTGTAGTGTCACGCGTCGATTTTTCGACGCACGAACATCGTTTACGGCGAAGGCTCTATGACTGACTGAATCGGATTGAACTGGATCGAGTTAGGTATCGTTCTTTTCGTTATATTCTACGCTTTCTCCAGAGGTCTGTCTCTAAGCGCTTTATGTTCTCCGAGCCGATCGTAATTGTAGCAGACAGCTGACGTGCGTATAAAAATAGCTAGGTTACCCTCGGACCGATGACTGATGTGTTTTATTACGTTTATCATTGTTTTAGTGTTAAAAATCAAAAGTAGTGATATACGTGGTGCATTATAAGAAGATTTAAGTGATTTTGAAGGGCTGGTTGATGATCCTGAAGAAGTAGGTAGTGATATTGATATAAATTATCAGCCAGATTCCTAGCTATGGTTAGGCTATGCATTCTTAGCTAAACGCTATGTACTGAAATCTGTTTTTTGCCCATAACTTATTTATTTGCAAATCTACTTCCTTATATTATTATATATTTGTAATCCTCATAAAATTTAGAACAAAGTGGCTATTTTCAAATATTTATAGGCCTATAATTTATACAATTTCATTGAGCGCGAACTTATTTTTTTTTTTTTTTAATTTTCCAAAATATTTTTTTTTCCTAAAAAATTTTTTTGAAACAAATGTTCCTTATGTTTTATGTATAATATTGAAGCCCATGATTTTCCAAACTAAATGGTATATAGAACAGTAGAATTAACATTGTTTTAAGCTTCTCAGATCCGTTTTAATAAAACCTTGCAAATGCGCCAAGAATAGGCGGACATTAAGGCCTAAACTATGGACACTCGGAGGGATATCAACTTATCAGGTACAGTTTCTTAACTGGGCTATGCTAATATCGATTGAAACTATCGAATTGAAAATATTGGTTAATAACTGATATTTTTAAATATTTCTATCATGAAATTAAACTATCATAACCTAACCTAACCAACCAAACTTGCTGATGGTGAAAAAATCGCATGAAGGTTTACTAATTGAATCGATAGTTTCAATCGATATTAGCATAGCCCAGTTAAGGAACTGTACCCACCTTAACGATAACATATTGATGCTCGTCCCTATTTGGAAATTTCAATAACAAAACTAAATTTTGTATCCTATCACAGGAAAAGGAAAGTGACAGCTCAAACCCAGGAAGGTCTAGTCTGATTGGACCACCATGCACACCATAAACCACAGCTCTTTACTCTTACTGGATAGTAACATAACTTTTGCTCAGAACAATATGTTTATATTATTTAATTTGAATTAGTAATACTGTACTCAATTACCTGAGACAAAATGGGACGTATCAGTACAGGAAGAACTAGTGAAGTAACTGGTGTCTCATCTCCCATTGTCATTGTTGTACGCTGTTACAACAACTCGAGTTAATTTACTCAAATATAAAGTAAGTATTCAAGCATTAATCAAATACACTACTAAGGACATAAAATATGTATATTATACTCTAAAAAGGGGAAACAACATAACTAATTTGATTTGGGAAGTGAATGAATACTGAAGTGAAGTGACTGACACTGACAGGACAGAGACAGACAAACTGAAAATTACTGTTGTTAATATGTTCTGCTGGCGATCTAGTGTTTTTTTTATTATACAGACTAAGAAATTATATAGATATAACAACTGTTTGGTCGTTGATTTTAAACATCAGTTTAAGAATTGCATTAGTGATCAGTGGCTTACTCGCATTTTATTTGTAAATGAGCAGTTCCGTTACCATATTTCTTTTTGTTATGTGGCAACGGTAATGTCCAAATATTTTGTAGTTGGGGAAAATGAAAATATTGACTCTATTGTGTATGGAAATAGATGTTCAATTTACATTGTTTTGGTTTAGAACACTATTTTAAATTTTTTAATGAGTTTGTATTCATAAATTTTAATTTTAATGAATACCACACGATTTTCAAGTATTGGTGTGATCTAATGAGCGGGTGTCACCTGTGTGCCATGTTAGCTTATGGGACGTATGGTCTGGCGCTAATCAGCAGTGACATCACTACTTGCGACCAATTCTACCAGGCCGCGGCCATCGAAGCAAATAAAATATGAGCAATAATAAGAATATTAGAAACAGGCATAACATGCAAAAGACTTAACCAGTATAAAAGAAAAGAAAAAACATTAAATAGGCTGAGATAGAAAATTAGGTATAGGCTACTAAAATACGTGCATTAAATAAGAATTAATTAATGTGAAAAACACTAAAGGCACTAAAAATAGCATTGCTTGCGACCGCGGCATTCTCCATTGTAACAGGCTGCAGCCTGGAGTTGAAGGTGACCGCTGGCCGTAGTACAGTATATTGCGTTGTAGCCTCGTTTACCAGATGAAACGATCTAATCATAACCAATAACTCGTATCCATCATGTCTCCTAGTTATAACAAAACAGTAAAACACAAATCTTGAAAATAAACAAAAAAATCTAAATTTCGTGGACATTGTAGCACTATGACTGTAGTGATCAGTGTCTAGAACTAGACCATGGTGGAAGGAAAATGCCATTTTAAAACATTATAAAAACAATAACAATCAAATCAAAACGAATACAATTTGACAGTTACAACACGGCCGCCTTTAACTACAGGCTGCGGCCGTGGTTACAAAACAGCTGCGATCTTTTGTTTGCAATCCGAGTGACGTCAGAATATGACGGGAATCATGGTGGAAGGAACATGGACGGGAATAGCGGAGTTAAAGGCGGCCGTGGAATAGCACACCCGAGCACGCCTTATGGAACTGACCAGACCAGGAAAACCGGATACAGTAGTTCCATTCCACCTTTACAATAGCCAATATCATAGATTAAACATACTCCTCAAGGAGTACTCTACCACCTTGAGGACTCCTTGCCCAAGTAGCAAAAATCGTTGGCAAATCGTTGGCCCAACGTTTCTGTCGATCGTTGGCCAACGGTATGTTTTGGCACTCAGTCTTACGGTTGGCCAACCAACCAATTTTTGCGGAAGGGCCAACCATCCCATTGGGCATAAACATAAAAAATACAAAATAATAAAGATTTTGTATGCAAAGCATAATTATGAGTTGAGTAAATTTATTAAATAGTTCATAAAAACTTATTTTGAAAATAAAACGAAATAAAAATTTTTGGCCGGGACGGGTCTCGAACCCGGTACCTTCGACATGTGAGCCTCACGCCTTACCCCTGAGCTAACTGTGCTTGTTGATCATGAGTGTTTTCAAGTGGTGAAAGAGTAGCCGACAGGTGCAATGGTCACAATTAATACTTTAAATATTTTTGGTGCTACAGTATAATATGATTCTGTTAATCTGTTCAAAACTTGCTTAAATAAGTTAAAGAATAAAAAAAATTATAATAATTATTATATGTTAAGCAGGTGTTCCCCACTGTATATCCAGTATCACAACATCATCTGACTACATTCATTATTGATCCAAATTTTTACAATATTTGTCTTATATTCTGCTGCCATAACATTTATGTACTTTTAAATAAATCAATTTTTTGAAATTCGTTTTAGAATGTTTAAGCCCGACGAATGCCCAACGAAGGCCCAACGATTCTTTCCTTTGTAGGGCCAACGAATACCAGTTTCCGTTGGGCCAACGTTGGCAAATCGTTAAAATTTCTGCCAACCATTTCCCAACCATGCCGACCATTTCCCAACGTTGGGCCAACGATGTGTGCTACTTGGGTGAGGTACACTAACTTAAGTACACTACCTTGAGGAGTATGTTTAATCTATGCCAATATGATTCCACTCTCAATCAAACATGCATTGTCGAGGTAATCTAGGTAGCATATGCATATATATAATACAGTTTCCGGGAGCCCAACAACAAAGAAGGAAAAGGAATGAAAGAGATTTTCAGCTGTCCCTTTCAGTGCCAGTGCCAGACTGCCAGTGTCAGCTATCACTATCTGCTCTCAGCTGTCTTTATGCTATACTGTACTAGAACCTGAACCAGAATCCATCCTTTGTTATTGTTAGTTAGTTATTTTATTTAACTTAGTCAGTCTCTTTTTTTAGTATTTGTTTCATTACAATTTTGCTTGTGACAGAAATTATTAATAAGGCTAGCTATTATTAATTGGTGTTGTCGATGGTTAACTTATAGCCTATTATTTCTTGTCAACTACTTTCAGCATGTATGAATATATTGCAACTAGCCTAATTACCCTAGCACCATTCATCAAAATCAGCCAAGGTAAGTTATTGTTGATACCATACCTAGGCCTTCTCTTTGAAATTGGCAGCTAGGGAGCTAGGCCGCCTAGGCCTAAATGGTGAAGCATTATGGGCAGACAAAATTCAAAAGGTAATACTGAACTTATACTTAAGTTATGTTTATATTGCTATTTTTCCCTATCTACCAATCCAAAATTAGGCTAATTTAAGAACTTTTTTCCTTGGCACTTTTGGGAGAAACGACTATTTCACCTGTTGGTTCTGAAATGTTACTATTATCATATGGACTTTTCCAACACAAAGTTTCTGGAGGTGAATCAACTTCTCCCGCTGCCAAGTGAAATCCACCTCCAGGATTGTTGAGCAAGTTATTTTTTTTAAACACAAGAAACGTTGGAAAAGTCCAAATTATAATAGTAAGCTTAAGATATTTGTTCAAGGTAGATAAGCTTGTTAGGATATTTTTATCGGTAACTTACCGTACTTTCCTGTTAAATGGAACATTCATTAGGCCTATTATCAATGATTTCTTTTCGATATATGGATATTTTATTTTTCGATCCGATATATCGATAGCCTACTAACGAATTGAAACATATCAGCTGACAATCCTACCCCTAGCTACTTTGACCTGTTGACCTTTTGCAGAACCCCTCAGCCCTGTCTGACAAGTCCTAGGTAGGCTTTTAGCCTCTGAGCCAAGAGAAGCTGTGAGACGCTCATTCCTATCGTCTCTTTTGATAAAAGTCACAACCTTCCCCTGAGGGATTTCAACATTTTTAGGGCCAAGGCCAGCCACCAGTGTTCAGAGGTTTCCACTTCATTTTCACAGAATCTGCATTGGCCTGTCCGTGACCTTTCCAATGGATCTAGGCCTAATGTGTTTCCTTAATAGGGCCGTGCCCAGTTTTCATTCCCACTAGTAGTCTGATGTCCCCCCCTTTTTAAGCCCAGAAAGCCTTTCCAATCCTTTTTTGAGGGGGTCTATAGTGTTTTTGAGGTCCTTTGTCCTGGGTTGGTCCTCCAGACCGCTGCCTTCTGGACCTTTAACTAACCCAGTTTCGGACTTTGGTCACACCAAATTAATCGTAGGGTTCTGGCCCTGTAAGCTGTTCATCTGGCCAGTGCATCAGCTTTCTCATTCCCTTCATGCCCTGAGTGTCCGGAACAAAAGCGGTGTTTACTTCGTTCTGCCTTGCTAGGTTGTTTTGAGGGTATTTTTCACACCTTTACTGTTTGTGACATTGTCATACAAGACCCCAGGGCACATTGTGGCTTGGCTGTCTAAGAAGATCAGTATGTTCACTTTCCTCAGGTTCTTGTGCAGGATGAATTTAGCTCAGCACTCAATCGCCAGGACCTCCTAAGTAGGGAATTGATCTTGTTACCAGGATACACCCCCATCCCAGAACTCCCACCCTTTCAACTTCTTTCAACGGCTTTCCTTTTCTACTTATCCTCAATCTTTGCTTCTCCTTACTATGTCTGGGGAGTGGAACATTTCTCTGATTTCTTTGTTGTGCCTAATTTTCTATCCTTCTCCCTCTCTAACAGATCCAAATATTTTCCTCAAAATTAGGTAGTCTTACCATGAGTTATGTTTTATTTAGATAACATCCATTGAAGGTTAAAAGAAAGAAGACCAATTTGAATGAGACTGTGACCATGTCAAAACCTACAGAAAATTTACATAAAACAGAAAAAACTCTCAATCTGAACTGCACGAAGAATGATACAATGAAATTTGTTCAGTTATTTTTGGGGGAATCACCAACAAGTGATTCAAAGGTAACTTTCAATAAAAACAAATATATTTTGTCAGCAAACATAAAGGTCTTTTATAAAGTAACTTATTGTAACCGGCTTGTTAAAAAATGTTTTGATTCATTTTGTAAAATTCTATGTAGTTTATTTCTGTTTGTTTAAGTTTCATTAATACTTCATGAACTGATTAAAATTCAAAATCAATGCAGTCTCTTGCACCTGCAATTTGGTTTTCGCACAACCTACTTGTAGTAAAAAAACTGAATAAATATCATAACTTTTTAATTAATTTCTTTTTTATTTGAATCACTTAAAATTGTTACAAGTATAAGTAATATAAAAGATTAAGCATGAATACAGGTCTGAACAGTGGCAGATCCAGCTTTAGATTGAGGAAGGGGGGCGAGATTAGAGGTGAAGTCCCCCTCCCTCACACCTAAACCCCTGAATACAATCCCCGTGGTACAATGGAACAACATCATCGTCTTCCGGGATTTTGGCAAAATCATGAACAATTCCCGTGGCAAAATCATGAACAATTCCCGTGGTCCTGTAGACATTATCGTCCATTATTGTCTCCTTC